AATGTTTCCCTTTCTTCTTCTCCATTGCCTCCATCTTTCAACTTGTGCCTTCCATCCGCTGTCCCGATCTTCCCCCCAGCAATCCGCTTTTTCCTATCCTCTTCTCTCCCTGTCCTGTGTCTGTCACCTCTGTCCTCCCGTCTTTCTCCACACCTTTTTCTCCTCCGGTAGGATCCTCTGCGCGCTCCTGCTCCTCCAATACTCGAGGTGGCCCCTGCGGATCTGGTATGTCCTACCCTCTTTTCCTCTGTCTGTTGCTCTTTCTCTGTTCATTGCTCTCTCTCTCCATCACCTGGATATCGACAGTGATCATTCGTCATTATCCTGCTCTCTCCTTTCCTTACCTGTTCCCTCCCCTCCGCTCCGAGATCCTCTTCCTCACTTGCAATTTCTTCTTCCCCACCTTGTCCGGATTCCCTTTCACTACCTGCATTCCTTACCCTGTTACCTTGGCCTTCTTTCCCCTGCACTTCGTTGGTTCGTACACCTCACCCTGATTGACTGACTTTCCGACCTCCTCCTCCTCCTCCTCCTCCTCCTCCTCTCGATCCCACATCTTGATTGCCCCCCTTCCCAGCCGCACTGCTCATCCTCTTCTTGTCAAATTGGGTCCCCGACCTACATCCCCCTCCCATTTACTTTAGGACCCTCCTTAACCTCTTCCGCTTCCACAACCTCCATCACGCCGGCAAACTAACCCTGCATGCTTCACATTGTGGCGATGACTTACTCCCCTTCTGCTTCCTCTGTCGTCGCATCCCGTCCTGACCGACCAAATCCCCACACTCTCATCCTCCTGATCCCGCATCCTCACTCTCCCCTTTCTCCCTTCTCCTACTACTCCAGCTTCTCGAAATTTGAATGGCGACCTTCTCCTGCCGGCATGACCAGGAACTTGACCTCCCCCCCTACCGTAGTGTTCCTTTCCCCCCTGCCTCTCCGCATGCACGGCATGACCAGGCACTTGACCTCCCCCCAGGTGTTCCTTTCCCCCCTGCCTCTCCGCATGCACGGCATGATCCCCGCCTCTGACTCCTTCCGATAGCGGCCTTGCAAAAATTTAGCCCCACTTGCAACATGGCACCCCCACACAAAATGGAGCTGCGGCCCTAAACGTGGATGGTGGGGGGAGAGGAGGGATGCAAGCAGGGAGGGGGGAGAGAGAGCCGGTGCACTTCGCATACGCCGGGCAAACCCACCTATTTGGTTTTGGGGCCGAGTGTAAACGGGACCCTCCACCTCTTCACGCACAACAACGCTAAGAGAGAGAGGGAGGGTGGGCGGGAGAGAGAGAGAGAGAGAGAGAGAGAGAGAGAGAGAGAGAGAGA